ACGCTAAAAAGTGTAAAAATGCTACAGTAAAAATCCCAAACCTGGTTAGCAGTATATTTCCTTAATATATACAGAGAATAACTGTAAACTGACTTTCCCAGAATTCCCTGCATGGCACATCCCTTTATGCTGTTTGTTGACATTAATATGCATGTTTTTAGTTGTTTCCTCATCAGTTATTGTACATTATAGAATCGTGTTACATCTAATGTTCATAAACAATGTTTATTTCATCAATGTAATTGTATGCATGTTACCATGTCTGTGTTTAGTAGCTGTGTTCATTACTGTCACATGTAGCAGGTTAATCAACATCATTTTCTAAGATCAGTGGATCAGTATAAAACATCTTTATAAATAACAGTATATGATTGTGACCATGTGAGTTTCTGTTAAATAAACAGATGCATAGATGATGATAATATTCAATACAGTCATTATGCATTGATAATCGATTAAGCCGCAGATGTTCGTTGTGAAAATGAGAATTAACTTTATAGTCTTTGCCGTAATTTTAACAATAAAATACTAACATCCACAGCTATTTTTTTACCTTAAAATTAACACATTTATTTTTTACAGTGTACTCCTGATTCATTTGTTCATTCATTTTCTTGTCGGCTTAGTCCCTTTATTATTCCGGGGTCTCCACAGGTGAATGAACCGCCAACTTATCCAGCACGTTTTTTTACGCAGCTGATGCCCTTCCAGCCGCAACCCAACTCTGGGAAACATCCACACACACTCATTCACACTCACTCATACACTACGGACAACTTAGCCTACCCGATTCACCTGTACTGCAAGTGTTTGGACTGTGGGGAAACCAGAGCACGCGGGAGAAAAGCCACGCAAACGCAGGGAAAACATGCAAACTATACCGGGAGTGTGTCACAAGTTGGATGAATGAAAGTGCAAATACAAAACTAACTTAACCTCAATGGCATGGTGTAGTAATATTTATTAGTATAGCACTTTCACTCCAAACAGTATAATAACAGTGAAAACATTAGACAGCTGCAGAAATGGATTATACTGACATTTACTGTGCATTTACTCATTTAATTCCACCACATAAAACATGTAAAATGTGCAGTCCTGCTATATACAGAGCCAAACATGATAAAAGAGATAATAAAAGAGAGTTTGGCTGGCTCCAGTGTGTTTGAACTCATTCAGATCAGTCAGCATGTCCGCTTTAGGATCCTCTGAGCAGTTTCTGGAAGCAGTGAAGAAACCAGAGCAACATCATGGGAAGCGGAAGAGACCAAATGAAGGGTTTTATTTATTTATTTTACTAAATAGCCTTAATATGTTTACATGGCTGTAGAATATTGTGATATTTCCCCAGTGATGGAAGAAACTAATCTCTCCAAAGCATCAAGTCAACTGATCCAACAATTTCTTTGTAAGACCACTAGCTGATTTTAAGTGTTTGTATGAAACGCCACCCGCTGGCGACCCCTGCTGCTTAATACATGTAAATGCATCAAACTCTGGCCAAAACTGTAAAAGCCCTTGCCAACATGCTGTAAATGTTTATATAAAATGCCAAATGAACATTGATTGGAATCACTCGCTTTTTTAATGTGATCAGTGAACATTCGTGCTGCTAATGAATTTATCATGAAGATAATTGCAAACGCTTAGCCAATATTGCAGATCTGTTTTATCTGTTTAGTTTATTTCATCAAGTTTATTTAATCTTCATCTGTAAGATCATTTATATCATTTACATTTGTTTTTTTCTTTCTAATTAAATCTAATCAATTCTTGATGTTTTATCACATGATATAATATAAAAGTGTAAAAAAAAGTAGTTAGTAATTTTGCAATATCTCATTTAAATTTAAATATTTTATCTTCATATATCGACAGATGTTTGGTGAACAAACTGTTATTTTAATGAATATAACTGTTCAATAAATCTGTTTGGGATTCATGTTTAAAAGGGGCTGTACTCATTTATGCTGAGCACTGTGTGTGTTCGTCTCTCTTTTCACCCCATATTTAAATCTGAAATGAACATATATAAACACGTATCAAATGATTGCTAATAAAATTAAACATACTTATTTTTAATTCTAATAATTGTACAATATATTTAAATAGCCAATAGCATGGAGTGACTGTAAAGCACATTTATTTCAAGCAGAATTGACAATGAAACTAACATATAAATCACTAAGATTAATCTTAGCCTGGTTATTAATCTGCTCTGGAGCTCATGCTAGCTGCAGAGAAAAATTCTCCATATTATCTTAATACAGATTAATGTTATCTGCTTTCAAGCAACTGAGTCAAGGTTAAACTCAGTCAGAATAACCATGTAAGTTTAATACATTATTGTATTTTGGTGCGATATCCCCCAGAGCAGATCAGTCCTCATTTCCAGCAGAAATTGCTTATTAATACAGTTCCAACATTATTTATTGAACCGAGCATGTTATTTCAGGTGATTGAGATGTGTAACTCCCATCATTGTTGAATCAATCACAATATCACATTTCTCATTCACCATTTAGCAAGAAAACAGCTTGTACACAACCTGAACCTGAATTTGATTGTAAGGGACCCCACTAAATCAGCTATACTTCTCAAAAACGGTAACCCCATAAAAACATTTTTATTAGTAATGACAGTTTTTATGTTCAACACCTTTTCTACATAATGTCCAGATTAAAATGCTGAAAAAATGAAAACAAAATATTAAAAAACAACAGAGATATAAGTTATTTAAACTGACCTACAGCACACTCAACAGAGAACAAACGTGATTGGTGCAAAACCACGAATACTAATGAGTCATTTGCATATGGTCTATCCTCTAATAAAACACAATTTTAAAGGTTTTATAAGCTTAAATATGATAATCAAAGTAAGGGAAAACAACCTAGACATCAGATAATCAAATTCTGAATGAAAATATGCAAACAAGAACAAAGAAAAACACAAACAAACAAATGGTCATGAGAACACTCACCACTGCCGAAATGCTGTGTCTCAACACCTGGTCAGTGGCTCAGACTCTCCAATTCTTCAGGGTAATGCTCCCAACGGTTGTCCTTGATAAGGATGATGTCGGTTTGGTTCTTGCATTGCCTTAGGGGAGATGTTTGGTAGAAGCATGATATATCTACAGAGATATATCCGCCAGACTGAACCTCGGCCTGGCCTCTTAATTTTTTTTATATCTAATAATTGGTGGGAGGTCAGGATTATTTCTTTGAATGCTTCTAGTCACATTTGGGCGAGTTCTTTGGTCATCTTGGATTTATGGACTTCCTTGAATGTTGACTGGAAGTATTCTGGAGCAAATCAGCAGGGAGTGAGTAGAAGGCAATGACCAGTTCATGGCCAACTTTGACTCCTGAATCTACCTGTTAGATTCAGCTGACTTGGGCAAGGGCTCTCCTGTTCCCTGGAATTATCTGGGGTCCTGGGGAGCCTGGTCTCTGGATTAGCCAGAGTAGGCCTCATAGAGAAACATCTTCAGACTCTTCTCGGGTGACCTGGGCAACCTTGCGGTGTTAACAAAAGGTCACTTGGGGGAGTGGTAAGTATTCAGCCCCCCTGGGTCCACTTGGACAGCACGCAGGGACGGTGGCCTTGGGTGAATGGCCTTGAATGAAGCCCAGTCTTCTACTGGTGATTAGCACCTCCACACAACAGCACATTGTGCATCAACACCACCTACACCAGTCATTCGAGATCTTTTCAAAAAGTCATCAATTCAAACATGAGATCTACTGAGGATTTGTAACTCCAGAATTTACTAGGATTAAGGTTGAGTAATGTTAGTACTTCCATAGGGACACTTTAAAATGCCAAATCTCAAATTATAACCTTACAACTTTTCAGAATGACCAGATTTTCCCTCTTTAAGATCCATTATTTCCATGGGAAGATTTAAAATATTTATTCTTCTAAAACTTCTAACCCAGAACTTTTCAGGAAAAAAAAAAACCCTACATGCCTTCTTCAGAACATCTAGTGTAAATGGCTGGTTTCAAAAATAAGATCTTCTGTAACTCCTCGAACATCTAACCCTAGAACCTCTCAGTGAAAGTAACCACACCTCACTTTTACAATCTCAATTTATGGGAATATTGGAACCTATAGACCTCTTCACCTATAAATAAACTTTACCGGTTCCAGTTTCCTCTTAAAAATCTCAAATTTAAATGATAATGTATCAAGAATTCCTTTTGGTAGTGAGAACCCTTTCAAAAACAAAAGCCCTCACTTTAAGGCTTTAACTTAAGCAATGAAAATCACAGTTTGCTTCTATTGTGAAATTTTTTTTATTTTATTTTTCTTTCCACATAGCGTGATTGTAGAGGTTTACAACTACACAATGGCATAGACGGTACACCTATTTCCAAAATTTATTGTCAGACAGTACTCCATGACATTTGCAGTGGTCTCATAATAAAGTTAACCCTTTGGGAGATATTTCTGATGACTGGTTTAAAATCTGTTCAGAACCTTAAAACTGAGCATACTTTGCCCAGCAGCTACTTTATGAGGTTTATTCACATTAAATCAGCTCTTTGGGCAGCTCAGTGCTCCGGGCTTATGGGTTACCTTGGAAATCTCTCAACGACCTATTCACTCATTGCATAAATGAATTCTTCCTTCTTTGGAATCTCCCTTATCTGCTTCAGTTTCTTGAACATTCATACAAACTTCTATCTATTATAACTGTTCGGGCTAAGGATCTTTGAGGATGTGCATGCTTTTTCACATCAGGTATGAGGTTTAAATCAGCTCTGTTTTCAGAGATTAATTTCGGTGTTTAATTTTCACTGCTGAAAGTCCAAACAATGAAGAGAATCCATCCATGCTCAACTACACAAGCCCCAAACCAAGCAAGCCAGTTTGCCAACCGATCAAAGTAAAGGGGGAAAAATAACCTCAAACCAGGCTCAGTTGGGCATGACCATTTCTCTCTTTGGCCAAACTTCCTGTACAGAGCTGCAGTCTAGCCACCGGAGGCTGGAGAATGGTGGACATTTATTGTGGAGAAGCTGTAGATGGGAGAGGTCACCGGCTGGTGTACAGACTGACCCTTCAGGATCAATATGTAGACTCGTGGGTCACTTTAGAGTCTTAAAGGAATCAATCTCATGCTCTGATACACTAGGAGCTCCCTCAAATACTGCGCAGCTAAGGCATTGAGGGCTTTGTAGGTAAACAATAACATTGTAAATTAAATATTTAATAGGGAGTCAATGCCCTGATGAAAGAACTAGAGTACTGTGATTTCTTAGTTCTAGAAAGCACTCTAGCAGCTGCAATTTGAACCAGCTGCAGTTTGTTAATGAGGCCAGCAGGGCAACCGCCTAGTAACTCATTACAGTAGTCTAACCGAGAGGTCATGAAAGCATGAATAAGCTTTTCTGCATCAGTTATTGATAGCTTGTCAAAGTTTGGCAACATTAAGATGAAGAAATTGAGGTTTGCAGATGCTTAATCTGGCCTTACACGGGTTGCTGTCAGAAATAGCCCCCAAATTACTGACTGAAGATGAGGACTAGGTTAGGGCACACTTGTCAGCTCTACAAAGTTGACCAATCACAGCTTGCTCTATTCATTGAGGTGTGTATCAGTGTCTGACTGCCACAGCATGGGCTATGTGGCCATGCACAGGTTGTGCTGAAGCATACTTGTGTGCTTGATGCAGAAGTGTAAATACACCTTTAGGAGTGCTGTTTCTGTGCTATGAGATTTCTCTACATCCAGATTAAAATTTTTCATAAACTTTAGCTGCTTTTCCACTCATGCTGAATTGTTCTCTAAATGGAACTGCTCCATTTTGTGCCAAACTGGGCCAGGCAGCACTAATACGGCTTTATTTTCCACTCATGCTGCAACAGCTCCTTGAAACATTACACAACCCATCAGTAGTTGCCTTTTAATGCAATGTAAACCGCTCCCTTTGTTCAATTAAACTCAATAGCTGAAAAACTTCAAGTTAATAAAAAACAAAAACAAACAAGTGAGTAAACGCTGCAATGCCATTCTATCATATTGGGGTGCTGCATATAGGTACATGTCACAGCACCTTTTTTAGAGGTCGTATGTTGCGCGCCAACATCTTATCTGGAGGGGAAATGACAAATGTAACAATTGAAATGTTTGCAGGGGAATAAACTCATTTAAGATCTCTGAACATGACAAAATTAAACTATGATAATGCAACAACAGTGCATTTGTATTACAATAGCAGAAATATATTTTGGATGGGCCTTGTCAAAAGTGAGCGGGCACTTTAACTAATGGCACTACACTATAAGTTGATTATATAACATTTTACCTTTTTGATGGTAAAATATAACCTTTTAAACCAGTGGTGTCAAACTCAATTCCTGGAGGGCAGAAGCCCTGCACAGTTTAGTTCCAACCCTTCAACACACTTACCTGTAGGTTTCAAACAACTCTGAAGGACTCAATTAGTTTGATCAGTTTAGTTCCAACCGTAATTAAACACCTATTCAGAGCTGCGGCCCTTTTGGAACTGAGTTTGACACGTGTTAAACAATGACTTAAGTATTAAAACATTAAATAATGAACGCAGCAAGTGAAATAAACTAATGTGAAAGGATAGAAAGCACTATTTATCAGCTTGACATTTTTAGAAAGTCTTTGCATAGCTACCCAGTATATATTAAAGATCAGGGGATAAAACAACAAATGTTACACAGCCCCAAACTATTAAAACTTGTGTATAACTGAATCATATAATGGCCTACAGCTGAAATGCTGAAAATTGCTCATTTATTAACATGTCAAAACAGTGATTATTTTGAGAGCACTACCGACAATTATTATGTGACAAGTTTAGAGCATATATAGACTAAGAAATCATGCAACGGTACCTTGGACAGCAGTGCCACTCTGTAAAGCCAAAGAATCAAAAAAATGAATGAAAAGTCAAAAAAATGATTGAAAATTGACTTTCTACCATAGGCTTCGATGATAAGCATTTCTTATTTGCTTTATTCGATGCGCAGCAGGAAAAAGTCTCAGTGCATGTAGTCATTGGTTTAATTCTCTCCTGGATCAGAGCGAGATTTGTGCTACTAAATACAGTGCTGCATGCAATAAACTTGCGTCAGTCAGGCGAATTAAAGGTCTTAAATGCTCAGGATGTCAATCAAATTACTAAACTCACCATTAATAAAATAATAGGCCATTTCACTATTTTAGAAGACTGGTTAGAAAAACCATGTATAAAGTCCATGAAATAACGGAGTTATTCACTTCTCTTCCAGAGACTGCTCTATGGTTTAAACCCTTTTAAAACTATTGTTAGACCAGGCAGCACTAATACGGTTTTATTTTCCACTCATGCTGCAATAGCTCTTTGAAACCTTACACAACACATCAGTAGTTGCCTTTAATTCAGTGTAAACCGCTCCCTGTTCAATTAAACTTAATAGCTGAGAACTTTCATAAGGGGAATAAAAGTATTTAAGATTTCTGAACTTGACATAAAATTAAACTATGATAATGCAACAGTAGTGCATTTGTATTACAATAGCAGAAATATATTTTGGATGGCCTTGTCAAAAGTGAGCGGACACTTTAACTAATGGCACTCAACTGTAATTTTTACAATCTATAAGTTGATTATATAACATGAAACATTTTGATGGTAAAATATAACCTTTTAAACCAGGGGTGTCAACTAGATTCCTGGAGGGCTGAAGCCCTCTACAGTTTAGTTCCAACACTTACCTGTAGGTTTCAAACAAGCCTGAAGAACTCAATTAGTTTGATCAGGTGTTTTTAATTAGGGTTTGAAGTAAACTGTGCCGAGCTGCGGCCCTTTTGGAACGGAGTTTGACACTTGTTAAACAATGGCTGTTAAGTATTCAAACATTAAATAATGAATGCAGCAGGTGAAATAAACAAATGTGAAAATGCATCATGATTTAAAGCACTATTTATCAGCTTTACATTTTTAGAAAATTTTTGCATGGGTACCCAGTATATATAAAAGATCAGGGAACAAAACACAAACGTTACACAGACTCATAAATGTCAAACTTCTGTATAACTGAATCATTTAATGACCTACTGCTGAAAATTGCTCTAACATGTCAAACCTAGTGATTTTAAGAGCAATACCAACTTGATTTAAATTCATTCATTTGACTAGTTTATTAGAGCATATATAGACTAAGAAATCATACAACAGTACCTTGGACAGCAGTGTTTAATTATTGAAAGTTGACTTTCTACCATAGGCTTTGATACGCATTTCTTATTTGCTTTATTCGATGCGCAGCAGGAAAAAGTCTCAGTGCATGTAGTCATTGGTTTAATTCTCTTCTGGATCAGAGCGAGATTTGTGCTACCAAATACAGTGCTGCATGCAATAAACTTGCATTAGTCAGGCGAATGAAAGGTCTCAATTGCTTCATGTCAATCATTATTAAACTCTCATCTATAAAATAGGCTATTTGATTATTTTAGATGACTTGTTGGATAAAATACCATGTATAAAATAAGTCAATGAAATAACTGAGTTCTGAGTTATTCACTTCTCTTCCAGAGACTGCTCTATGGTTTAAACCCTTTTAAACTATTGTCTGACCTGTATAAATTGCTTATATTGAATTGTGTTTACTTGTTGATGTCTGGCTAGCATGCTTCTGAGCCAGCTGTGGTAGCTTGGTAACCACCCTGACATCAACACTAGAATTTATTGGCACAGTTAAGCACGGTTGTCTAACCATGCTTGCAATTCCAGGCTGAGAACAGTTTGTAATCGTGCTACATGGTTCCAGGCTCAGTGGAGAAACAACTGTAACTGTACTGAAGGGTTCTTACAAAGGTTTGGCATGATAGTGGGAAAGCAGTTATTTCTTTTTAGTTGAGCAGATGACATTTTTATAGTATCTTTGATAAATTGGACTATCAAACCTGCTTTTTAAAATTTAGCATTAAGCAGTTTTTTTTTTAAAGAGGCTTGGTGACTGCTATTATAAATTTTAGGAACTAATTCTAAAAGTAGGGATGAATTAAACATCGAACTATTCTTGGATCATCTTTATTACCCAGCATTTTGAATGGTGTATCTACTTTTTCTGTACTGGAATATTGCCGTGACCCATACACGTGACCACAATGGTTTCTTTTTTTTTTTCTTTGCTTTTTAGATGTTTAGATTAAGCTTGGATCTATATAAAGGGGAGAATGAAATGGCAATTAAATCTTAACCTAAAAATTAACCTAACCGTACGTTCACACCGAAAGCGGCGAGAGCGTCAAAGTAGCCGGAAGTCATTCATTTTCAATGAGAGCCGGCGGCGAGGAGCAGCGCGGCGCGTCTTCGCCGGCGTGAGCGTCGAGGAGAGTTGAAATGAAGTCAACTTTATGGTAATGAGCTATGACGCGTTTCGGCGGCAGGCAATCAGAATGAAGACGTCCACCGCTTGATAGAAGTTCAGGGAACACAGACCTGTGAACTTTGGTTCCGACCACAGTTGTTCCCAAGGGTTTGATTATTGCGGTCGCCGGATTTCCAATTATTTCCAATTTTTTCCTACAGGAACATACATTAAATAAGTTACTGGCGAGTTACTGATGTTCATTAATGATATATAAATTTATCTTAAAGCGGGAATCTCACGCGAGGTGACAGTACAAAACAGTACTGCTGCTTCAGGATATTTCAGACAAATGGACACATATTGGATAAATAGAGCAAAGCCACACCACACGCAACTTGATCTTCCATTGTTGTATGAATTTGATAAGAAGTGCGCAACATTTTCACGCTAGAAACATGTTTTATGCAGGAATGTAACTGATATGCTGCAACGGCTCCTTTAAATATGAGATCAATGTAGCGAGTTTTGACGCTCTCGCCGCCGGAGCTGAAAGCAGAGAGCGTTGTCGCCAGGGCGGCCAGAGCGACCTTTGACGCTCTCGCCGCTTTCGTTGTGAACGTACGGTAACTCTTTGCTCACCTGTGTCCTGTCCCATATGGACTGTGTGGATGGACTCAAGACTTGTGTGTGTGTGTGTGTGAACCTGAAGCCCAGAAAGGCTGGGAGTGCATGACCTAAAAAGGTCTAACATCCTTAGTTTCCTCATTAAGAAGCAAGTAGAAAAAATATAGCAGCAAATATGGCCTAACATCAGCAGTAACTAAATTAATGTGGATGAAACGGCCCTAACCAACTCCCACCCCTAAACCGAAAGCTTGGCATGTATTTGGATCATGTTCATACTTTTTTTTTAATAAATTGTAACTGCACTAACCCAACCAAAAGGGGTTTGTTTATTCGGATCATTTTAATGTCAGATCATCTATTGGATCTTTTGTGTGTAAGTTTCATCTGTATCAACATCTTGGTCATCTGGATTTCCTTAGTGCAACCTTTTGAAAACTGTCATCAGTTTAACAATCCTTTTATCTCTTTGAACACCAGCCTGTTATCTTGGATTAATGTCTTTTTCTTGGATGCTATGTCAGTTGCATCATTTCCATCCACACACCAATCATAGATCTTTCACAAAGATTGCTCAATATTCAGGTCTTTCTTGCATTGTCTTAACCAGATTTTGAATCCACTTCATCCTACTTTTTTGTAGATCAGAATATACCACTGTCTTACACCTAACACTAACCACAAGGGTTTCTTAACCAATCCTAACTGAACTGCTCAAGCAACAAATCATTTCTTAAAGCATTGAAGAAAAATTGACTAAACCATGTCTACCCTTAAGTCAAACCTAATTGTAAATAACAACCTTCCCTCAAACTTAACCCTAAAACCAGATGTTTTGTAACTGAAGAACATTAAATTTAACACATCCTAAAACAAAATCTGGTCAATTATCAAGTTGAGAACATTACCTCTACTAAACTTTACCTCAAATAAACTGATTTAGTAATTAATTATTAATATATTAATATATTGTAATATATTGTAATATATTGTAATATATAAATGTAGAGCGAACTAGGGGTAGAGCGAACTAGGGGTAGAGCGAACTAGGGGTAGAGCGAACTAGGGGTAGAGCGAACTAGGGGTAGAGCGAACTAGGGGTAGAGCGAACTAGGGGTAGAGCGAACTAGGGGTAGAGCGAACTAGGGGTAGAGCGAACTAGGGGTAGAGCGAACTAGGGGTAGAGCGAACTAGGGGTAGAGCGAACTAGGGGTAGAGCGAACTAGGGGTAGAGCGAACTAGGGGTAGAGCGAACTAGGGGTAGAGCGAACTAGGGGTAGAGCGAACTAGGGGTAGAGCGAACTAGGGGTAGAGCGAACTAGGGGTAGAGCGAACTAGGGGTAGAGCGAACTAGGGGTAGAGCGAACTAGGGGTAGAGCGAACTAGGGGTAGAGCGAACTAGGGGTAGAGCGAACTAGGGGTAGAGCGAACTAGGGGTAGAGCGAACTAGGGGTAGAGCGAACTAGGGGTAGAGCGAACTAGGGGTAGAGCGAACTAGGGGTAGAGCGAACTAGGGGTAGAGCGAACTAGGGGTAGAGCGAACTAGGGGTAGAGCGAACTAGGGGTAGAGCGAACTAGGGGTAGAGCGAACTAGGGGTAGAGCGAACTAGGGGTAGAGCGAACTAGGGGTAGAGCGAACTAGGGGTAGAGCGAACGAGGGGTAGAGCGAACTAGGGGTAGAG